ATGCTGTCTCTCAGCCCTCAGCATCATTCACTTGCATGTTCTCACCATGTGCAACAATATCAAACAGCTATTTACTATCAAGGTTATTTTCATAATCAGTTTTTACTTTTGTATGTTTTTAATGGAGGCAGTAGGTTAGAAAAGGCAGGTTTTACACAAACAAGCAAGGGAAATTATGATTTCATTCTATGTTTCCTTTTCTTTCTTGCTTTCATTCTTGCTTTCTTGCTGACCCCCTGTGAGGACATTGCACGCGTGCGTGCACAAACACACACACACACACAGAGGTCTTGCTTCCATTGGTGTTGTCAACATTCAGGCTGCCCTTTGCTTGGCATCTTTTTTTTTCCTGTTGGCATCCCAGGCATGATATTGTGCAGCAATATCAGGCCATTTCCTGGCATTTGAATTCTGGGCACAGAAGCATAATACAGTATCCCACATTCATATACCTGAGGGGTTTTTTTGTTTTTTGTTTTTTGGAAGAATTGGATATATTGGCATGTGAAAGGTAACACTACATGTTGCTAAAATGTTACTGGCCTTTTTTGTTTTTGTTTTTTGTTTGTTTTTGCAGGGGGGTAAAAATATGACGAAAAACTATCCACCCCCAAGAACTCCCCAGCTAATATGTCTCCAGTTATTTAAAAATATTATTTGTTTGGGGCAGGGGGACCTAATGTCAACACTGTTGATATTTTAATACCCAGAAGTATTACTGTTGGCCCTTGCTACTAAAAAAAGAAAGAACATTATACTTAACACGTGGCTTCCAAGCTCTGGTTTCAACTCACAACATCTGAGGCCCCATCCATTTCCTGAGGCCCAAGAGTAAAGAGAAAAGCTTTAATCCTTTCATGCAGGCCCACTTTGCAGGGCTGGCATATGACCTCATTTTTTTGAGGTGGGACATGAGGGGGGATTTTGTTTTACCCAACCACATCCATATGAAGAGGGGGTTTGCAGAAATGTAATTAGGGCCAAAAGAAAAGAAGACCCGTGCTCTGGACCTATATGATTAGCCAAAATAACTGCTGTGAAGTCTTAAAGAGGGGTGAGGTAAGCTTGCATGGCATGTGCCAGTCAGTCGACATGCCCAGTTCGCATGAGGGCAAGGCGTCTGCTCGGTTTGGCACAGCAGACAGCCCTCCCTTTCCTATGAGCCCCTAGATGGTTAAATATTTGAAACCATTTTAGATCACACTTCGCAGCCTGCGCTGGGAACAAAGAATAGATCTTTGTAGTTAAATCTAGGAAGGCTTGGGGGAGGGGTGGCGGAAAGCCTGTTGTCAGCCAAGCCTTCGCAATACAACAAGCCTGCGAGCATCCCCGGGTGGCCATCTTCTCCCTGGGTGCCCCAAAACAACAACATGCGTGCACCGTGCTACAAAGGGACAGGGCAAAGAGCGCAGATTTGCGGGTGCTAGGGCTTCATCGAAGGGGCCTGAATTAACTCCGAGTCCTCTCTTTTTCCATTCATTCTCCCCCACCCCCTCACAGCCCAGAGACACACACTGAAAAAGACGGCAGCTTTTCAGAAGCGCCGTCTCCTCTCCCTTCCTTCCTTCCCTCGCTTGCTTGTCAAGCTGACAGGATGACGCCGGCGGTAATATTTGCATTCACAAGGGAACGCCTGATTCCGCCGCTGCCTGCCTCCACATTTTAAACTGGTCTGACACCATTCAGCAGTGACAGGGTTTCATTTCACCGCGGAACAGCTGCGGGAAGCGGATCCAGGCCCAGGGCTTCGCCGAGAAACCATTCCCTGAGAAGCCAGTGGCTTCCGCCGGTGTGTGTGTGTGTGTGTGTGTACTTTCCGGGACAGGCGGCACTTCATGCGCAGTCACGGGCTGTCTACGTTTTAAAGCCTACTTCATCCTTTCCCGTTCCTTAGCATACCTAGCAGGGCCAGTGAGCAAAACCTTCACCCCAGAAGTTTGGCGGGGGGGGGGATACGTATATGACGCCTCCTAGGCTTTCTCCAGTTTCCAGCAGGGCAGAGGAAGGAACTGTCTGGGAAAACAACAATCCACAGCCATTGGGAAGGAGGTTGCCTAAGCTAGCTCTTATTTTAAGAGGGATTCCCCCTCCCTTTTTCTGGCAACAGAGGAAAGGAGGAGAAAACAGCACAAGAGGCCAGTGATCTGAGCAGCATCTACCCAATACAGCCCCCAACCCATGATGAGGACCACCCCACGGGGTTACATTATATGGCATTTGGAAATGCTGCTGTTTGGACTACAACTTCCAGCCCCCCCCCCCC